TGTAGACAATCTACGATTTGATATTATATCATACTCGATCGTGCCTGTAAAAATGGAATGCATTTTCATGTAAATTTATATGTTTATATGAGAATATAAATTATTATTGATAGGCAGGAGACTCCTCCATCGGTAAAACTCAAACCAAAACCAACCAACCAACCGACCGCCCGAAGATATTTGATGTGATATGTGACTTAGCTAAACAACAACGATACAAAAGTGCATCAAGTGTGAGAATCCATGTCTACAAGCTGCATAATTCGATTTCAAAAGCATGAATTATGATTATCAGAAGTTAACTTTAGAAAGAAATGAATACTTATTCTCATAACTGTATCGCAAATATTTGGCGTCCAATAGACCAGCTTTGATATGGCAATGGATTTCTGCACATATACACAAAATTGTCTATTGAACGTCTTCTGTACTGATTGTCTTCTCTTAGGTAATTCGTGTGAGCCACTGACCCTATTTACGGCGGCCTGCTTAAATCTTGGGCTACTGAAATTTCCATCCTACATATTCACTATCTTTGCTGCTGCTTCGTTTGGTAACTCCTTGTGTGTAGCCACTGACTTCAACATCTGTGATTGCAGTTTTTTTACATTCCTGAAACATGAAAATGTTGTTAACTTCCCAACTCTACAAGATAGTTCACTTGATTTAGTATTTATAAATGATAATGGAATATACGAAGCTCGTAAAAGGTCTCTGCTCTTCAATTCTGATCACTGTATTGTACGAATCTTACCTAACATTTATGGAAAGTTACACAGTAAAGCCTTCTCAAACTTGTCTAAGAAAGTTGTTCGCAGGATTTTACTCAAATGGGAACGTACAACGATTATTTTTGCATGCACATGACTTTAAAAAGTGTCACGCGCCACAATGCCAGCATGGTGATGGTGGGGTCTTTTTTGCAGTGATCTGAGAGGTTGGACGGGTATGTGTATAGTTACGCGGAACATTAGGAGAAGGTGGGTCAGGACTGGATGCATGGAGAGAGATTTTCGCTCTTTCGTAATGCACGAATATCAGAGCTTCTCGGAGTTGTTGATTTGACCAGGTGTGTGTCTTTCTGCAAATTTATCAGCCGTTGATATTCATCAGCTATATCATGTAGAGTTAACTTGGGATTTTGCTCTAGCTGACTGAACAGTCGAGTTCGGATATCTGTGAAACGAGGAGATCGAAGACTGCGTTTGAGAATCAAGGCTTTGACTTGATCATCTGTTAAGCACCTGAGTCGAAATCTCTCACATTCTCGGTTGACTGTGACAACGTGAGTAAGAAAATCATCATTTTCGTTGATTGTCAGCTTGAGGAAACGATAACGTATGCTGAATAATGTAGATTGGTCTGCAAAATGTTCCCTCAGCAGCTTTATTGTATCATCGAAACACTTGTCACGTGATTTTTGGGGTAAAATTAAGTTGCAGTACCTGTCATATTCCGGTGGACCCAATTTACGTAATTACACTCGCACCTTCCAGGTTTTATCTTGTCAGGCGAGATCAACTCTGAATAAACCCTCATAGCGTTGATACCATGTGTCAAAAGTGACATTAGTATCTGGATCATAATTGAATTTTACTATTCACAATACCGTCGACAGATGGTAGCATGGTATGATTCGGATTGCTTGAAGATGAAGTTGAACCAGTCTGATGGTTGATGAGTATTTCCATTAATTTCATTTGTTGCTCGAATAGTAATTCCAATTTAGAAGAATCCATTCCATCCCCCTCGCCAATTATGTTATGTACTGCTGAGTGGTTAATGGGCCTGATGCGGAAAGAGTGAAATCAGAAGACCACCTCGTTCACGATGATTCTTGTATTTTCCAAATAAGGGAAATAGATGTCACACAAGTGTGTGAGTGAAATAGTACGTAGTTTACGAATTGTGTGAACAAGTATGAACAAGTCTACTATACAAAAGTATATATGAAAATGACCAGTATACATGAACCAATAGACAGACAGTCTTACCATGATTGGTTGTAATGTCATGTGAGAACAAGGTTGTACATTGTTTGTTTAGTTAACGGACAGACGAAAGCATATTGTGAGTTATAATGGAATATCGATCCATATACACATAGCAAAATATAACAGACTGTCAAAAACAAAACACGCATCACTAGCTAGCTAAGCGTTCGTCTGACGGCTTGTTTTGGTCCCGAAATATATCACTTAGTTTGGGCGATCAAATATTGGCTTTTGTTTTGTTGTCGGTACGCGAGAATAATTTAGAGGCTGTGTAAGAGAATTCCGTCCACCTCTAAACTGGTGAGCCCAAACGCAAACTTCATCCACGATAAATCCTCAGATAACCCCGGTGAGTTCGTTCCATTTTGTATTTGTCCTTGTACCATATATTATTCGACATGATTTCGTCATGAGTGATCTTAGTCCCAAGGTCATTCGTATCTGCTCAACTCCTAAAACTATTCAGCTCGTACCATACTGGCCAGATAATGCTAAAACGTGGTTTCTGCTAGCTGAAGCAGATTTTTGTGAGCATGGGATAACCGATCACCGTTCACAGTTACTTGCAGTTATTCATGCCCTACCGCGGGTATTCAGCAAGTACGTAACATCACAGATGTTTAGTCCCCAGGTAAGTAACTCGTACGAGTTGCTCAAAGCATCCCTCCTCAGGAGAAACGTTCTCACCAACCGACAACGTCTGGATGAATTATTTCGCAACATCGAGTTAGGAGATCAGTCAGCCGTGAGCATGCTGACAAGAATGAAAGAAGTCGCCGGCCAAAGTCAGTTCGACGAAGGACTATTTAGACAACTCTTCTTAACCAAGCTGCCACAGTCTGTACAGACCGTACTTGTGACACTTCAGGGTACTGTAATAGAGGACTTAGCTATTACTGCAGATAGGATTCTAGAAATAACTAAACTGTCAGTTCCCGAAATATGCTCGATGACTAAGCAGACTTCGAGTAATGATCCTGCAATGATAGAGTTATGCAACTCCATCCAGCAGATGTTTAGGTCAAACATGCATTCTAACTCCTCCGACCGTCGTCCTAAATCTCCTCAACGCAGGAACTCACGTGGTCGATCTAAGTCCAAACCACGTCCACTGAAAAACCCTGACTGGTGCTGGTACCACAACACCTACGGCCAAGAAGCGAAGTGTTGCCGTAAGCCTTGAAACTTCAGAAATGTCTCAAAGTCTGTGGGAAACTATCCCGCCGGCACGCGTTAGCGGCAACCGTCGCCGGTGGCACTAGCCGCCTTCTTTACATCCATGATGTGATAAGCCAGACTCGATACTTAGTCGACACAGGCGCCGAAGTCAGCGTCATTCCTGCTACAGCAGATCAACAGAAGGAACCTGCCTTCAACTTACAGGCTGGAAATGGAAAACCAATCGCAACCTTTGGTAGGAAATACGTCTATCTGAACGTAGGTTTACGCAAACCTATTCGATGAATTTTCCTTCTCGCTGATGTTCCAATGCCCATCATTGGCATGGACCTACTTAATCATCATGATTTACTCGTAGACGTCCGCCGAAAACGACTGATTGACAATGCTACTAGTCTTTCTATCAAAGGCATTACCTACAAAGGCCCCAGTTTGTCAACTGTTAAAATAGAGGCAACCCTTGATCCAACTTTTCAACCTATTGTTGACAAGTATCCGAGATTTAACTGCCCATCGAACGACCTATGAGTGTTATCACATAAATTGGGTCCACCAGAATATGACAGGTACTGCAACTTAATTTTACCCCAAAAACCACGTGACAAGTGTTTCGATGATACAATAAAGCTGCTGAGGGAACATTTTGCAGACCAATCTACATTATTCAGCATACGTTATCGTTTCCTCAAGCTGACAATCAACGAAAATGATGATTTTCTTACTCACGTTGTCACAGTCAACCGAGAATGTGAGAGATTTCGACTCAGGTGCTTAACAGATGATCAAGTCAAAGCCTTGATTCTCAAACGCAGTCTTCGATCTCCTCGTTTCACAGATATCCGAACTCGACTGTTCAGTCAGCTAGAGCAAAATCCCAAGTTAACTCTACATGATATAGCTGATGAATATCAACGGCTGATAAATTTGCAGAAAGACACACACCTGGTCAAATCAACAACTCCGAGAAGCTCTGATATTCGTGCATTACGAAAGAGCGAAAATCTCTCTCCATGCATCCAGTCCTGACCCACCTTCTCCTAATGTTCCGCGTAACTATACACATACCCGTCCAACCTCTCAGATCACTGCAAAAAAGACCCCACCATCACCATGCTGGCATTGTGGCGCGTGACACTTTTTAAAGTCATGTGCATGCAAAAATAATCGTTGTACGTTCCCATTTGAGTAAAATCCTGCGAACAACTTTCTTAGACAAGTTTGAGAAGGCTTTACTGTGTAACTTTCCATAAATGTTAGGTAAGATTCGTACAATACAGTGATCAGAATTGAAGAGCAGAGACCTTTTACGAGCTTCGTATATTCCATTATCATTTATAAATACTAAATCAAGTGAACTATCTTGTAGAGTTGGGAAGTTAACAACATTTTCATGTTTCAGGAATGTAAAAAAACTGCAATCACAGATGTTGAAGTCAGTGGCTACACACAAGGAGTTACCAAACGAAGCAGCAGCAAAGATAGTGAATATGTAGGATGGAAATTCAGTAGCCCAAGATTTAAGCAGGCCGCCGTAAATAGGGTCAGTGGCTCACACGAATTACCTAAGAGAAGACAATCAGTACAGAAGACGTTCAATAGACAATTTTGTGTATATGTGCAGAAATCCATTGCCATATCAAAGCTGGTCTATTGGACGCCAAATATTTGCGATACAGTTATGAGAATAAGTATTCATTTCTTTCTAAAGTTAACTTCTGATAATCATAATTCATGCTTTTGAAATCGAATTATGCAGCTTGTAGACATGGATTCTCACACTTGATGCACTTTTGTATCGTTGTTGTTTAGCTAAGTCACATATCACATCAAATATCTTCGGGCGGTCGGTTGGTTGGTTGGTTTTGGTTTGAGTTTTACCGATGGAGGAGTCTCCTGTATATTCAAGTACTCCCAAGGGCTTTAACAAACGGGCTATCAAAGAGCTTGACTTAGAAACACCACACATACCACTGGCTGAAGGTGGTGTCAAGAGAAAGAAGACAGCGACGGTGCCAGAACAGTTGAAGTAAGTACTCACAGCTAGTAGCACTTGACACTTATTTTCCTCCATATCGTTTCGTCTACTGTTGGAAATGATGTGGTCAGCCATTGATATGTACGTTTGTTAGCATTTGAATATGTGGAAGGGTGACATCCGGCCGTGTTAACAAGTCTTGACAGCATTATTCAGGCATTCTCTAGACACCACAACTTTCATTGGTTTGACCTGTTGGAAACCTGCTTTACCACGGGATGTATACTTAAGTGTGTGGTAAGTATTTTGTGGTCATGTCATTCAAATTCAACCAGGTGGTTCTGGGGCTGAGGAACTAGTGCAGCAATCGACATCTAATGTTGACTATCATCCTTAGGATTACATACCCTCTATATGAATCCCACTAGTATTTTCCTACTTCATAGAAATCTGTACAAAGTCCTGAAAGATCTTCGTATTGAAGTTAACAGTGGTGTGTTCTTGTTGGAGATCATCCCACTTAATATGGCCTAAGATCCCGATTCTCTGTTCTAATTAGTTACTTTTTATAGCCGAGTGGTTCGTTCCTATGAAACAGTCACTTTCGGTTGTTGGGTTAGACACGAAGGACTAGTTTTATGTGGCGGGAGACTTCAGGGGACAATCTCTTGAAGTTCTCTGTACACAGTGTTTTGATATGATGGAAGTTGTGCGTTCCCGTCCTTGGAAAGAACTTCACAGAAGGAATTTGGGATGGAGATATATTTATGACTGATATTTCCTGTCCGTCTACCTCCGGAGGAGGAAGGTAGTATAACTGGCTAGTTGTTTGAAGGAAACCCTTTATTGCTGCTACATTTGTATACACTAGCAACATGACCCTACCGTGAGATGCCCAGTCAGTGGTAGTTCGTCCTGTCTTTATTAATGATTGTGGGGCGTAACTATTGTAATTGAAAGACGTGCATCGATTGAGGAAGATAAGACAAGCATCACTCATGCTTAACCACTGTCTACCTCAACAAACGATGTTAGGTGTTACCGGACTGGTTTGGAAAAGACTTTCTGCACGGTATCACCTACGACAGCATTAGGTTGTGCCAGTTTGACCCGTTGAGTGGATGTGACATTCAGACCCGACATGCACGTCAAGTTAGCAGGCATCCAGTGGGACGTTAGGCAACCGACCACTAAAAGAAGTAGAAATACCTAGTACAAAATAACTGAATCACACAGACACTCATTTTCCTGATTGAATTACTGAGTGGGAAAAACTTGAGTCCTTTGAAGAATGAAAGTTTTGTTTATCGATAGTCTGTGTTAACTGAAAGAAAGGATAACTGAATTAGGGATATATGAGAATGACGACAAGTTGAAGTGCGAAAGTTTCCGTTCACAGCGGTCAGTATTCTACATATCATATATACATTCAATGTTGGGGATTGATTGTCTTTTGTGTTTTGTCAGTTTCTGGTACATATTTTTAGAGCCTTTTGTAGATTACTTGAAATCCAAATGGTACATAATGCTTCAATGCTTTGAGATTTTGGCATTACAAAGTGGTAGTCACTAGCCTCACTCCTGAGCTTCCCTGTTTTTTGGACAAAGTACCGATTAGGCGACGTATAAAAGTGAGCATCTCATTCAGGAGGCCAATTAGTTACTTAGTGTAACTGGTTGGCAGTGCCTTTCTACTGTCTTAACTTTCTGTCACCATCTTTTGATCATGGACGAAGGATTAGTTTTAAGTGATTAGACACTTCAGGGGACAATTGCTTATAGATGGTTACGGGATTTCTGTCTTGATATTAATGGAAGTGTAGTGTGGTATAACTGGGTTGCCAGTTGTTCGTTCCAGGTGAAACCCTTTCTGGCTTATTGTGGACTAGGGGAGGTGAAGAAGTTTGATGGCACCTAACAGTTCTTTATAAGTTAAATATGAAGTGTCGTTGGTTTTCCAGGAGGCATCACAATACTTGTTTCTGCTTTGATAGGTCAGTCCAACCACAATGTATGTATAGGCTTTGTACTTTAACGGAAACCTACTTTCGTATAAGCTGACCAGTGCCATTGTTACGATCTATCAGTGAGCTGATTTCCGTAGTGATCGTAGTGAATGTTGTGTTTTGATTATCCTTCCAGCCTATCAAATCGATCGTTGCCTGTTGATCTCGATTCGAGTGTCAGTTCATCCCGTCGTTCTGTGCTGAAGAAACTGGCTCAGCCGAAGAAAACAACTACAGGTACGTCTAGAGATTGTGATTCTTGTCGTTAGTGTTTACACCCATCTTTGCTGTCATGTTTGACTATTTGAATAGTAATACGGAGTCTGTTTTTCACCATTTCTGACATATTTTGAAGAAATCTTTCCATATGTGATAAGGTCATAGTATTTAGTTGGTTTGTTTACTGGCAATGAAATTCAGTTGAGTAGATGCACATTTTGTCCTGCTTAAGACCGAACAACTGTAGGTATCTGTCCCTTCCCTCCAGTGCTTGGTGTTGTTGGTGATGACCCCAGTGAGATGAACCCAGCACGGATTGTTTGGAAAGCCACATGTGAAGACTCATGTGGTGTTATTTGATTGGTGGTGGTTAAACAACAAGTGACGAGTGATATCTGTTTCATAAAAGGTGACTCTGTTGACCTTGTGGATAACAGTTTGGTTGTTGTAACAATAAGTAGTAGGTTTTAGTCTTAAGGAGGTGTGGAGGTGGAGGGCATACGATCACGGACTGAGGAGACAGGTACACCCAAATGACGAATTATATCAAATATAATGAACAGTGATGCAGTATTGTTAGTGCCTGGACCATGTTTTGAGCAAAACCGTATGTCTTGCAATGGCTGAGGATTTCGTTGCTATGTAACCATGTAAATCGGAAGGGTTTGAGATAGGTGAAAGCGTTAAAAAGTTTTTTGAGGAGGAAATGTTACTTATAAGCACACGTATGGTATGTTATACAAGGAGATTTGGATTCTCTTTCTGGAGGATTTCCGCTTCACTGTGGCTTTTGAATTTGTAATTCAGCAGTGAACTGTTTTTAGGACGCTGTCTGGATCTGTTCCTGTGCGTTCTTCGGTTTCAGGTTCTTGTTAGTTAATGAATGTTTATTAGAAGTCACTTCCAATCAGCACTATTCGGTAGTTTTACAGTTCTACACCAACAGGTCTCTCAGTGAGTGTATTCTCCGGAATCTAGAGGAAGATGACTGGATAACATTTCTTTGTCTGCTCAGAGATAGAGAGCTTTGGAAGTTGATAAACTGTCTGTTCCATGCGGCCTTCATATAATCGGATTTTGTCATCAGTTAAACAAGGGCGAAAGGTGACATTGAGTGTGATTCTTCTTCTGTTGTGATGTTAGTGTTTAGGTGTTGAAGGTGTTTTGAGCAGATATCAGAGTTTCTAGTTGACATCAGAAGGGATGAGAGTATCGTGGGTTAGTGCGTCTGAATGATTTGCTTTCTGTTAGTATGTGTGATATGCTACCACGCAGACTATGGATTGTTCCTGAATTCAAGGAGTTTCCAGAAATATTGTTGGTCGATAAGTGGTAATCAGTCGGTGGGAATCCCTTGAAAATGTAGCTTTCGAGCTTGTTGACCCTCATCTACATGGTGTATGTGCAGTCTTGAAGGGAATTGTACTCCTGTGGTGATTCAATCCTTTGGTGCTGCAGTGAGTGACATTGCCTACCACTGGGCTGTTTCGGGACCATGTGGTGTGGTAGTGTCAGCTACCTTATCTCTGTACATGTTCCCACACCTACCTAGAGGTTTCCCAGTTGATGAAAATTACTCTTCTCTCTGATTGCTGATAAATTGTAGGTGATTTTGTTAACGTGTTGAATAGAACGTTTCCGAATTATAATCTGTCGACTTAGTTTGTATTACACTTTCTTTCTGTTCTGACTAATGAAGTACGTCAAGGCACGGATTGGATGTATGTTAACCATAAGGAAGCTACACAACCCAGTGATCGTCCTGTTTCTCGTAGACGAGGTGATGGAGGTGAGCCATCAACACAAGCACCACCGCCGCCATCAAGACCACCGTCGAAAAGACGGGATTCAGGCCGACAACTACAACAACAGTTAGTGGAAACAGAACAGGAGCGATCCAGTCAACGGGTGGGTGCTTCACGAAGACATAATAGTAATACGAATAATGATAACAATCAGAAAAAAAAAGAACGACCGAAGAAACGTGCCGCACCGGGAACCAGAGCTTTGCAAGAGATAGCATCATATCAACGGAGTACAAATCTCCTTATCAGGTAAAATGACCGAAAGTTGTTTTTTTCTTCATGCTGGTTGCTTATTTGTTCTTATCATTTTTTGTTTGTTAGGGGAATGGCTTTAGTTAATTCGGAATTTTGAATCACAGAGTTAGTTCACTTGGATAGTTTGGTTAGTTCGATTTGTCAGTGAGGATTCAGTCACCAGGATAGTGGTGTAGATGTGACACCTGATATCGGGAAAACGACATGTGTACTGAGCATATCAGTTTACTATGTGCCTCGTTTGTGACCATTTGATGACAAGGGAGACGAGAAGAGGCGAGTTGTGGTTAGCTGTAGGTGTTTCACTTCTATCTCCGCTGCTGTGTTATTATATGATGCGTCATACTCAGGTTAGACGCAAAGTATTAGATAAGAAGACGAAGTCAGTCAATCGATGAGGTGATGAAGCCGCACCGATTGAGATAGCTGGCTGGGACACGTGTTACACATGCCAGTTAGTGATTGAGTTTACTTCTCCTATAGATGAATTTCTTTGTAGGTGAGTTAGTAAAAACATCTGAGTGTTTGCCGTGCTACTTCTCACTACTTCATGTTGTTTCGCTTAACGTTCTACATTAGGAAATTTAGGCAGTCTGGTATAAAGCAGTCTTTGCTTTCTCAGTTTGTAAATTCTTGTATTCTACCCATCCTCCTTTACTTCTCCCCATTAGTCTTTCCTGGACTACTTAAGAAAGACTTTGCTTCGCTGAGAAGGGCACTAAAAGCTGTTAGTAGGGCAAGTGGGATATCGTTAGACCAACTGGTGAACACTATTGTAGATAGACATATAATGTCATGTAAGAAACTAGCGAATACAATATTGTCGGACCCCGAGCATCCTCTCTATACGCATCTATCTCCTTGCATTTCATCTGGAAGAACTAGAAGCAGCTATAGGAGGCTATATGCTAGGACTACCAAATACAAAAACTCCACAATACCATATCTGGCACAGCTGTTATGTGATGAGAAATCCGTTAGGTATGACACGATAAACTTACTGCAGCACTCTAACAAATATTCTCATTAGTTTTTGTTTTCCTTTCCTCGTTACTACTACACTGTTGTTCTCATCTACTACCACACATCAACTTTATATTTCAAATCCTGTGGTGCATTGTTTGAAATGAAATACTCTACGCTGTTTTTTTTCTTAATTTTTAATATTTATTTATAACTTATTTATTTTATTTTTATTTATTTTTGATTTTTAAAAATCTTATATAATTTATGAGGTAATTAGATGCAATATACTGAAATGCACGCTGACAATTCCATACCTGTACCACAAATACTGTTTGGAATAAAGCTGTTATTATTATTATTATTATTAATTCACTAAGTACCAGTGAAGTGAAGGGAAGTGAGAACTTTGTACAAACTGTCGTCACTTTGAAGTTGTGCAACACTTTGTGGAAGACACATATTGAAAGGCGCTGGTGAAGAGGAGGGATGAAGTATTAGAGGAAGTTAACACTGATGTATTCACGACTAAGGGTGTTTCGATACAGCAGGTGTAAATGATAACTTGCTTGTCTGAAGATCTCTAGATCTTATGTTCCTTAAAGTTAGCAGATTTGTATGCTAGAATGAGACTGTTAGTTATCCGATTCCCATAGTTCTTGATTCCCATGGGTGATTGTTTTGACTGACTGTGACTTACGTACTGGTTTGATTCCTTGAGGAGGAGGAGGTCTGTATTGATGGGACTGCACTGATGGAATCTATGAAGCACCTCTAAATTGTATGAACGTGTATATATCTGTTTGATTGCTTGGATTCCGAGTGGGATGTAGTCCTCCTCCAGACTGTGGAGTTTCATTAGTGGTGTTGTCTGTTCCTTTAGGTGGTAGTGGTTGGTGTGGTTGTTCAACAACTCTGTCCAACTTTCCGACTTCTCCAGACCCACCATCTGCTAGTCAACTGAAGAAAGTTTCTCAGTGCATTGACCTACATTTGGGTCTAGACGACGTGTGTAGTCGGCGAGAGTTCTACTATTGAACCACCATCCCGGTGACTGAATGGTCAGCCAGCGTACCTGATAACTTGATGGTTGTCGTGAGTTCTGTGTGTGTCTCGTTGTGTCACGTGTGCTGTGCATAACTCAGAGGAATGACAGACTAGAAGAAAAGACAGCCATCGACTAAATCCGCCTTATTATATGTATATTTATATGCACATATCACCTAGTGAATGAATGAATGAATTGATTGTTCACTGTGCAGTTTACCTGTTTATATGTTCATCATTTGATTCTTTGTTTGTTGGTTGTTGTTTCGTTGTTGATAGGAAGCTGCCATTCTCTCGATATATCCGTTATATCATGGCGACATCACTTGGTCCGAGATACTTAACGTATCGTTGGCAAGCGATATGCTTTCTGGCCTTACAAGAAGCCGCTGAAGCATTCCTCGTGAGCTTATTTGAGTCGGCTCAACGATGTGCAATTCACGCTAGACGTGTTACAGTGATGGCTAAAGATGTCCAACTAGTGACAGATTTACAAAACATTCCAACTGCGTCAAGTTATCAACAATTTCCATTGACGACGATGACGACTAATCGACCCATGTTGACAGCACCACCGTGTCCATCGAATAGGAAGAATCGGAATAATAATAACAATGATGATGACGATGATAATGGTAATAATGTGAGATGATGACTGTCTTCCTAGTTGATTTTAGTGATTCCAGAATCACTACTGTTGTTTTATCTCCGATCCCCATTCCGGTTCACTTCTCTTCTTGTTCCAGTGTACATCAACAATCCTCGCCCATATTCGCTCTTTGTGATAGATAATATATCTAGTCAACTTCTATTGTTTTTCGATTTGACTACTGTTGTTTTTGCCCCACATACATTTCTGTTTGTTACCTGTTTCATTATGTCTCTCTTCTTGTGTGTGGTACATTGACATGGCGAGTGGAAACTGGAACTGGTGCACATCTGTGCAAAGTTCTAGGTTGAAACTAGTCAGTCAATCCTCCCGCCCCCACACAACTGCTACCCTCCCTGCTTGACCCTCTGTTCTATTTGATCTTTGCCTAATTCCCAAAACCTTTGATATGTTTTGTAGATACAGTGTGTTCTCCTTGTTATTTGTTATGTTAGGTTATATTTTTGTGAATGCTCCATTACTACTTTTATTTGCAGTTTTATGCGTTTTTGTGTTTTCGCGATGACCTACCTTATTTGTACATAGTGACTTTAAATGGCGTATGGCTTTACAACAATCTGAGTCTGTCTCTCTCCCTGTGGGTGAACAGACTTTTTTGTAGATAATTGCTACCGGTGTTGTATCATGGAATGTTTTCTATTGTGATTGAAAACAATTGTGTCTCGAATGTTCTTGTGATTTGTTCTGCTTATTACTCTGAAGTGGGGAGATGGGGTTTGGTGGGTATCCTATACGATGTGCATCTCTTTAGGATGATGTTCATTTTGAAACACTATTCACGTTGGTGTTTTCTTTCAGCTATCTGAAGATGTTGATTGATTTTAGGGTGGATTTGGTTGGCGACTGAGACACCAGTCAATCAGTTAGTCAGAGGCCCATTGACAACCACTTAGGATCTGGATACACTTCCTGTCATGGTTTGAGAGTTTGCTGTAGTGTATCCACCACAATGGAGGTCCAAGCGAAAACTGTCAAGTGATGGTAGGTAGTGGCTGGTTAACTATCGAGCCAGCGTGTTGCAATCCGATTCGCTGTAAATTCCAACCTGTGTCGACTTGTGATATATATATAGCCTCCAAAGCCTCAGGATGGTCGGGAGTGGGTGCCTTGCGCTGCGGGTTGGCCACCCCTCCGCACACCTCTTGAAATGCTCCCATATGACCGGGCGTCTTACATAGCCTCTCCTGAGGAAGTCCTACTCACTGCCTTCACGTGGCGGAGGTGTTTCTCACCAAAGTGAGCGGGCGAAAGCGGATGCCCGGCGCTCTCCACCGGGTTGACTGTCCATTGGATGACGGTCTAGGGGAGATGGCTAAACCCTGATTCCAAACCTCCAACGACTGGCGTATGAAGCTCACTGGAGCTCACCGGCAGACGTATGGACAAAGGGCTTGTTGGATGTCCTGGATGTCTGGCCCCATTCAAAAGGCGTATGAACCGAACTCCGGTCACCGGCTGCCAATGGATAGTGGACTCCTTACTCCACTCCTACTGCCTTGTAGGTCACACTTGGCTGTGTAAAGGCTAGAGCTGCACTCTCAAACAAAAGGCCGAGCGATGCTGGGGACATCACTCTTACCAAATTCCCATGAGACCTCATGAACTCTCTTACAAATTGCCGCGCCTGGGCAGCGATGATTCGAGACGTTCATGAAGCCGGCTCATCCTCCCGTAGGAGATAGCCGAAGTAAAGTAAGTAAAAGTAAGTAAGACTTGTGATATATGTATCGGTACTAAGTGAATAGTATGATCGACGAGTATCTGTGTGACCTCACAGCTAATTAGCGCTGCATTTCACTTGGGGTTGACTTCTCATGAGAACAGCACGAAATTCATCCAGTGGGATGAAGAGTGGTGGATTGAGTAGGCATAGTTGTCCGAAAGCTGCTACCTTGACGTGGTGGTCGGGCTTGAACACTGCAATGACCTAATCAAGCTATACTGGCTGAGACTTATGTCTCTTGAGGTCCTACCATGCCAGGCAGGTTGTTTGGATAGCGGTTAAACAAAAACCAGCTACCCAGTCCAATACCATGATTCAAACAAATTCACAAAATTTCATTCCGGATCGGCCGTGGCCCGGATTAACAACGACCGCGCTTCCTGCTGCCGTGTCACGGGGCAGGAGTGATAAGTATGCTACTGAGACACACCAAACAAAAGAGAACAAACAAAACAGGCCGCGTGTGACCGGCCTCAAGCAGTTGTCCCCTGGGCTCTGCGGTCACGCGACCAACTTCCACGGTGTGGGCAGCCGGGAAGTAACAATCGCCCTCACAATCCGAAACGCACGCGAAACTTCTCTAGGCTTAGTTGTCACTTGAGGATTTCTACTAGAGAAATGGTAAGTTCTCAGTTCTCATAGTTTACTAGTTAGTCCTTAGCTGTGGGAGGACAGGATATTGTACATGGTAGTCGTTAGCCACCTCTCCATCGCTTGTCAAACTATAAGGCGTGGCGAATCTGAATTTGTCCATCATTTTGAACAGGAAATGTATCTCCAGAGCTAATTTCCTAATATTGGGATATGGAATACACTCAGAATCTGTGCGACAGACTTCTCAGATTCCATTCTCTTCAACGCCAATCAAATTGGTGAGAAGACACGACATGTATTCCTTCATATCGATGCATGTAGATAACATGAATCTGTTGATATGAGGAAGACAATGAAGATGGTCGGAGTGGACATACGATCAGGAGTTCGTCCAGTGACATCCCACGCACAATGAAGGCCATTGCTCGAGGGGAATCCGAATAGGAATCGACGAGTTCTTTGTTACTTCGAGGGTGACATGGAGGAGGTCGGACGAGGAGATGAGAAACTGTGGGTGAACATAGGGCCAGGTGAAGAGAACCGCAGCAAATAGGACCGAATGGAGGTGTGCTCCTGAAGCCGTAAACTCAACTCGTAAACCAAGAGAAAAATAATATTGACAACAAACATGGAAATCCAACATTTAAGTGTTGGTTTGTAGGGATTTGGTTGATTAGTTACAGGATTTCATCACGAGCTGACTTTGGTCAGAAAACCATTGGAAAACAACATGGGAGTACTGTACAGCTGTTTCGTCAGCCTAGTTTGTGACTCTTCATCAGTACGGACCCACCACAGGGGTTCGAACCCAGAACCTTCTGGTTACAAGGCTAGCGAGCTCGTAGTCCATTAAGCCAGTGGGACCCGATCCAATGACCAGCCCATGAATTCTAACTTCCGCCAATTCACGACATAGCGCGACCCTAGCCAATATCTTCGGCGAGTATTTGTCCTCACACCCGACCTACTGGTCACAACTTCTCATTAGTGCTAGGGGTCACGCTATATCGTGAATCGGGAGAAGTTAGAATTCATGGACCGGCCATTGGATCGGGTCCCAGTCTCCTAGTGGTATATGAGCTCGCTGGCCTTGTAACCAGAAGGTTCTGGGTTCGAACCCCTGTGGTGGGTCCGTACTGCTATCTAGTACTCTCAGCTGGTTTTTCAATGGTTCTCTAACCAATGTCAGCTCATAATGAAATCCTATAACAAATCCAACATTATTTGGATTCCCTGAATTTATGGCCGCCCCCATCCCCGAGTCTTTATCAACCTCATTCAACAGTTGACTATACGACAGTGACACGTATCAGCCGTTTCACAACGGAAAACTCAGCGAGGCGTTCGAAGTGAATATAGAAGAAAGATAAATCTGGATGTCCACTATCACCGATGATATTCTTAACTGTGGTAGAGTGGATTATGCGTCAGACTGTACGTTGTGGGCGGGAATACAGGAATACGCTTCACCGACCAATAAGAAGACACTAGAAGATCTGGATTTCATGTGTGGATGATTTATATCGAATGTCACAAACTGGGAGATGCACAGGCTAAAACCAACACACTGGCTGAAGAAGCTGGCTGTCTGGCAGTGAAGACAGGACTCCAGGTGAACATAAAGAAGACGGATGGAGGTGATGAAGATAACCTACACCTACACCAACAATAACCAGCACCAATCACCATCAACGGGAAATTACTTCCTTCACTGATCTGACCAGGGAGCATTGTTCCAACCACAGGTAGTCGGACAGCAAGGATTAAGATGTCAGAACAGGTGGCCAACCACAATCGTGAATGCAAGATACAACTTCATCACATCAACGTGAAACCAAATTTGGAAGTCTTCTGCACTCAGTCAGCAATGTTGAACAAGATTCAGAATTTCAACAAAAATGTGAAGTCAGTCAGTCAGTCAGTCAGTTACTTATTCTCTATGGGTCAGAAACTTGCACTACGAGTCGCGAAAAGCATTTCCAACAAGCCACTGCATACTTTCATCAACTGCTGTCAACTTCGCTCGGTCTACACTGAAGATCAAATCGCAGGTCAGTTGGCCAGAAAGAATTAGCACCAAGAAACTGTAGTGAAACAAACCGGCAGGCGAGAGTTGATCGCACAAAAAATATGCAGGAGAAGATGGAGATGGATCGGCGGGCATACATTGAAGTAGGAGGCCATCGAATGACATGGCGTCTCTGTCTGGATTGTGAGGGCGATTGTTACTTCCCGGCTACCCACACCGTGGAAGTTGGTCGCGTGACCGCAGAGCCCAGGGGACAACTGCTTGAGGCCGGTCACACGCGGCCTGTTTTGTTTGTTCTCTTTTGTTTGGTGTGTCTCAGTAGCATACTTATCACTCCTGCCCTGTGACACGGCAGCAGGAAGCGCGGTCGTTGTTAATCCGGGCCACGGCCGATCCGGAATGAAATTTTGTGAATTTGTTTGAATCATGGTATTGGACTGGGTAGCTGGTTTTTGTTTAACCGCTATCCAAACAACCTGCCTGGCATGGTAGGACCTCAAGAGACATAAGTCTCAGCCAGTATAGCTTGATTAGGTCATTGCAGTGTTCAAGCCCGACCACCACGTCAAGGTAGCAGCTTTCGGTCGGGCTCTGACATGGCGTGCAATGTGCAGGTCATCGGTCGAGTTGAATCCCAATAGGAAGTGACGAGTGGGTTGTCGGTCCGACGGTTATATGGAAGAGACCGTTGGATGCGAGGAGGAGATGAGAGATTATGGTCAGTCGTGGACCCAGCTGAAGCCTCGTGTTCTACTCCTCCTAACGCAAAGCAACAATCAAAATAATCGTCATCAGACAATTCAAACCAAATGTCAGTCACGTCTCGTAAATCGTTAATGCCCAGCTCTTGCTACGCTCGGGCTCACGCTGTTCCTTGAAGTTTCTCAGAAACGCTTAGTAATAACGGACGAAAAAACCAAAACACCAATTGTTGACTCGAGGATTCTTTATTGTAACACCAACATATAAAAAATGTTTGCACTAAGCTTCTGTGAACAAATATTACAATAATAAATCACAATATTACTTCTGACGGTTGTCTCCTGACTTCTTTCTGAACAGCGACCGATGAGACGATGACTGTCGTATTGATGCCTCCGCGAAAATATAGGGACGTTGGTTTTGAGCAAACAACCATGAATTGATCGTTCAATCTTCAACTACATTGACACCAAATTTGTATTTCTTTCCACCAATTACATAATTATGTTTTCTGTTTTTGAATTGAAGTATGCGCTGAAGATGTCACCCAGTAAGGTGATGAAAGCTTCGCAAACTAACCATCCAGCTCAGAGAACAAAATCACATCAAAATCATCCACCTGAGCTACAAATCTTCTCTATCTTATGTATTCTGTTTCGTGTATGATTTATTTACCAATCTCATTGTTA